TTTCTTTTTTTTTTCTTTTTCCTTCCCCCCCCCCCCCCTCCCTTCTTCTTCTTTTCCCTCCTTCCTTCTTCATCTTCTTCTTTACTTTTGTCCTCTTTGTCAATGTGTGCTCCTGGTATCAAACTAATGAAGTACGGGTCACTGAAAGTAACTGAAGATTCGCATAAGATACATGCCAATATACAAGATACTTAACTTCAGAAAATGGTGAAGCTTAGGACTCGACAGAATTCATCTCATGAAGGTTTAGATCTGTGGATGTATAGGCTAGGAAGCAGATCACCGTTTAGTCCAAAAACTTTGGCTTTTGAACAAAGCAAACATCAATTGACAACATATCCAACTCTACCTTCTAAAGAAGTGTTAAGAATAGCAACAAATCAGAAGATAAAGCATCCTTTATACGAATGATAGAAACAAGTGCTAGATTTATGCTTGTGTGCTTGGTTTATACCCATTCTGTAAGTCATTCAACAAATGTACATTGGGTGATTAATGTCAGTGACAGAGCAACTGGTACTAAAAATCAGATTTTACCTTCCACCATAAAGGAGAAACCCCAATGCTGCAAATAGGGATACACCTGCAAGTACATTGTGTTAGTACTTTGCAACAGATCCATGCAATGGAAAACACTTAAAATAAGTTAAATCTAAAACAAAGAACCTGCAAAAAACATCTTGGATAAGATGACGAGTACTCGAATAGGTTTCCACCACATTATCAGCCATAATATAATCTGCAAGATATATAAGAAACAAAGAAAATCAGCAATGAACATCCACCAAATAGGTACAGCAATTTAAAAGAGTAAACCCTTGTTTCACATGTTTCATGCAACAGTTCCACGAGAAAACATAAATTTGCATGTCTAACTGTGACACTGAACATCTCATCAAACAAAATGTAGTCTTGATAAAGTATCTCCAAATGACAGAAACATATTTTCTTATCAATGACACTTTGTTTGATATACCCCTAAGATTTATGAGTGGTCTCAACATTTGGCGAAATACTAGGCACTGTGCTCTCATTTCTGCTAATAGAATACTTAAGAAGGGGAAATTTTAGTAATTACTGATGCTCAGATGGAGGGCATCCTTTTATGTTTGGGAGTTAGAGAGGATGGCCAGGGCACTGAATGAACTACCCTATGAACGACATGTTTAAGAATGTTGAGAAAAAATCCGATCAGATGAAACTTCTTGTCATTTTTAGAAATATATTGATGTCAAAACTCCCAGACCAGAGTTTATTTCTAGCAAGCACCAAAATAAATTGATGCTCCTGCCAAGGTTCTTTTTGAAATGGACCAAAAAGGAAAGTAAGACAAACAAATTGAATGGAAGGAGTTTATATGAGTATTGCATAACTGTCACATATTTACCTGAATAGCATAAACCACTCCGTTGATTGTGAAGAAACTAGGTCTAAGCCCATCCGTGGACACAGCACGTGCCTGTCATAGGAAAAACAGATATGTTAACCTTGAGAAGATATATATCTACACAAAACTGAGACAGAGACCACAAGAACCTGGTAGTATATCTCAGCCCAGAATAATACTAGTAGAGCATAAGTTGTGAAGAATGCAAGACTTGGCATATCAAGCATAATATGTTGGACAATCTGCAAAAATGTAGCATACAACGTTATGAATTAAAGGAGTGTAAAGACAAAAAACATCAACATAGTCTGTTGCCTAACCTCCGGTTGCAACTTCTGAACATCCCGACGAAATGTAAAAACTATCGAGCGAACTGCAAAAGAGCATGAAGACACAGTTAAATAACAAAGCCAACACATCAAAACAAAGTGGAGTATACAGGACCAATCATTTGAAAAGCACGTGTAATGAAACTCCCCATCAGGATGTTCAAAAAAAAATTAGAAGTAAAGAAAAGAAAGATACTGACCTCCATTCACAAAGAAATTGAGAAAGTGGAAGACTTTTTGAGTGGTCCAGCCATATTCAGGAACTCTCATTTGAATGCGAATTAATTGTACCTGATTGCCAAGTTGCAAAGTCAGAAACTAATTCCAGAGCCGCACATAAATTGAAGTATTGGTACTGGTGATAATAGTTTTCTAGAGCAATAACAGAATAACAATATGATCATCCAATGCGCAAGAACATGCATGAAAATTTAAACAAGTATACCAAAATCAATCAATGAGACACAAACAAAACCAACTTGGCAAAACTTTAAATTTCAAACTCCAAGCCATGTTCCCCTCTTTTTTGCATACATAAACCAATTAGTGGAAATTAGAAACAGTTTCAACTATCGCCAAAAATATGCATACTATAAGTGCAAATGCTCCCTGGTAACATATTATAGTTTTGCCATGACTAAATACCAGAACCCCAACAACAACTACCCGCCATACTGGAAATAATAATCATGAACTTGCAGGGAGGAAAAGGTGCAGTCTGTTAAAAGTTTTACCTACTTCAACAACTTCCCTTTTTAGTTTCAAATTTCAGTTTTAATAACTTTCAAGTGTCTATACGAAATCATACAAAGACAATTCCTATTTGATATATCTATTTAAGCAAGTATTTTAGGGTTAAGAAGCAATTGTCTCTTGTACAAATCGTGTATTAATCTACTATAACTATAGAATACTCCCCTTTCGCAAATTACTGTGTTTATCCGAATGATCCCCAACCTACGAAAATCTCTCTTTTTCCTATCCCTATCCATATGAGCCGAAACTAAAGCTCTGTTGAGTAATAGTTCTAGTAAGCCTTTAATGAACCCCTTGAAAGCTTGATGCAAACTCTATGAGTTATATATCCCCGTTTCAAGGACCATCAAAAACAAGTCTAAAATGCCTCAAATTCGAAAGTTCCGCCTAGAATTCTTCCCTTGATGAAAACATCAAATTTTGAAGTTACATGATGCGCATGACATTCAATTCAAACAACTAACAAGCAAACACAAAACAAATTATCAGATTCTTCATACATCTCCAACACATATACGAGCCCAAGCTTACTTTACCAATCAACATAACAAAATAAAAAGAGCAACCCAGTATACTAAGCTCCCGCTATGCACTGAACCACAAAAGTCTATTGGATGCAAAAAGCCTATTTACACCGCTCGAACCTGTCACATCCTACTAACATGACAACAACTTTACCGTTTAGACCTCCTCTCTTCTATATTAAGCTCTCGCTATGCACTGAACCACAAAGGTCTATTGGATGCAAAAAGCCTATTTACACCGCTCGAACCTATCACATCTTACTAACATGACAACAACTTTACCGCCTAGACCTCCTTTCTTCTAATTCACATGGAAGGATGCTTTACCTGATGGAACCCCTCTTATCCCAATCAACATAACAATTATGGTAAAATTAACTCACAAAATTCAAAATTCAAAACGCTAAGACGTAAATAGAGAGAGAGAGAATTTACAAGAGCAACGACGGCGACAACGCCGTAGAGAACAGCAAGGACATGGAATATACGATTTTGCCAATCAAGAGATCCGTTCACATCGTCCCACCAATTGATCGCATCATTCAGATGATACGCCACCACTGCCATCGCCTTCTCCGACGGGCCTACAACCATCTCCGCCCGCCCCATCACCGGAGATTCCAAAATCAAACTCACCAATTCCAAAATCCCCCCCAAAAAAATCAAACACCAAAATTGGCAATTTCCTTTTTCGGTACCGAAATTAAAATTTTTTTATAAATTATTTACTATTTTTGTTTATTTAAATTTGTCTCCTTTTTTCTCCTTTTTCAAAATGGCCGGCTAGAAAGAGAGGTATTATTATTATTAAATAAAAATAAATAAATAAATGTATATATATTAGCCACATTTTCTTATTTTTGTCGGATTCCAATTGAAAAAATTTGACGTTTATAGGGGTAATATTGTCCTAAATATATCCTTAATGCATTAGGAAAAGGAATCGACTAATAAAAATTTTAGTCTAAATAATATAGGATTAGGATTTCTATTCCTACCTAAATTAAGTTTCACATTATAATAAATAGAGGTGATTTGTTACCTATTTTCTATTACGAGAAAATGTAGAGAGTAAAATATCTTTCTTTCATAATAGCGAAAATGCTAAACGTTAGGATGAACAATTCTAAGATCACAATATACGTGGTTTCTTGTTGGATTTTTGTTGCTTTTGGTGGATTGATGTTTGGTTATGATATTGGTATTTCTGGAGGAGTTTCTGTTATGGACGATTTCTTGATTAAATTCTTCACACATGTTTATCAAACAAAGTTGCATGCTAAAGAAAATAACTATTGCAAATATGATAATTGGCTTCTCCAACTCTTCACTTCATCCTTATACATATCGGCTCTTTTCGTGAGTTTTTTTGCTTCAAAAGCTGCTACTAAATTAGGAAGAAAGATAACTATTTTGATCGCGTCAATCTTTTTCATTGTTGGAGCTGTATTGAGTGCTGTCGCGGAGAACAAGTTGATGCTTATTTTTCAAAAGCCGCTACTAAATTAGGATGCTAATTTTCATCCTTATAAATTACTAGTTTTTTTTTCCATTATTAACTAATATAATCATACTTGAAGTGCTAGCTTTGTAAAGAAAGAAAATAACTCCGAGCATGTATCTCATTTTGATATTCTTCATTATGTTGCAAAGTGAAGTTTCACTCTCAAAATAGCTAGCTATCACGCATCAAGGCCCAAGGATGCCAGCTTTCGTAAAATACTTTTACGAGGAATAGTCTTGTAGAGAAATATCAGGAGAAAAATTTAGTCGGAAAGACCTTCTGCTAGCTCAAGATCATTAATTAAGATCGAAAGAGTCAATTAAAGAAGAGGATGGGCATTTTGGATAAGAGAAAAGAAAACTTTTCGATTTGGGTAGAATACAAACGTACAAGACCATCCCCCTATTTATACTCATCTATGGATGGTTATAGAATATTACAAGATCTAGACTATTCTATGATTTTTTTTACAAATATTATTATCTCTAGAATATCTACAAGAAAATTCTAGTTACTTTATCTTCTACTCTAGAATATCTACAAGAAAATTCTAGTACTATCAGGTATACGAGTTTCTAATCTCAACTATTTATCAAATTATATATACATCAACTTTCATCAATTGTTCCCAAAAACACTAGGAAAATGGAACAACTTATAGTTGATGCATGTTTTTGATAAATAGTGTTGGTGATAAATCAGACATGAAACTCAAAAATCAGATATTTTAAGTATGTTTTTAACCACCAACTCAAGTAAAGAATGTCAACTTTTGAACCCTAAAGCGGGAATCAAAACCATATTTCGAAACGAGGCTTTGCACATCATGACTCGATACAACAATAATAACTATTTATATCTCAATCTAGATCGTGATCACTTTACTTATACTCCTTTTCATTTTGAAATTATATCTACGAATGTCATTAACACTTAAAAAATCAAGGGTCTTAATTTAAAGATCATGACTATTTAGGCCTATACACGTCTAGTTACCAAAAGACACAAAAAAATATAAGCAAAAAATAAAGAGAAAATTTCAATAGATTCAAATAAAATTACAAGAAAATAGGAATTGAAATAATATCACACCTTTCCTAAAAAAAATTACCTAAATAGTTTCCTTATCCTTTTAGGATTCCAATTGAAACAATGATGTTTAAAGCGGTAATATTGTGCTAAATATATAAAACTTTACGAAAAAGAATGGACTAATAAAACTTTAGTCTAAATAATATAGGATTAGAATTTCTAATCCTACCTAAATTAGGTCTTATACCATTATAAATAAACGTAGTTTGCTGGCTATTTTCTATTAACAAATAGTAGAGAGTTCATAAGCTTATAAATAAAATATCTTTCTTCAGGAAAAAATATATTTCATAGTTGAACGTTAAGATGAATAATTCTAAGATCACATTATATGTGATGTCTTGTTGGATTTTTGCTGCTTTTGGTGGATTGATGTTTGGTTACGATATTGGTATTTCAGGAGGAGTTTCTGCTATGGATGATTTCTTGATTAAATTCTTTCCACATGTTTATCAAACAAAGTTACATGCTAAAGAAAATAACTATTGCAAATATGATAATTGGCTTCTCCAACTCTTCACTTCATCCTTATACATATCCGCTCTTTTCGCCAGTTTTTTTTGCTTCAAAAGCCGCTACTAAATTAGGAAGAAAGATAACTATTTTGATATTTCGGCTAGATGGGTGCACGATTACGAAAAAATATATTTTAAATATAAATTTGATCAATTTGACTTTTAGTTCGTATATGAACCATTAAATTTTAAAAATTATAGATTCAAAATGTATAATACTACTAGTTTTAAATTTTAATATACACATTTGATTTAATTATATAAAAAATTTACAATGTTAAATTTTTTAGGAATTTTCAATGTAACACACTTGAAAATTTTGAAAGATTAAAGGAAAAAAACAAAAGCAAAATTAGTTGAAACGTCAAAAGTGTAACCGATAACCATTTGGAAAGGTGTTACTCACAGAGACAAGATAGATATAAGATTTAAATTTATATCCTTACTTAGAGAGGTGCACCCAATCATCATCGCATTAATATATGATATACTTTGAACATGGGTTCACACATCTATATTTAAATATTTTTTTAAAAATATAACACTACTATACATGATCTAGAGAGGGGAGCATGGGTTCACGTGAACCCACGGCACCCCCTCTAGATACGCCTCTGTACATATCGGCTCTTTTCGCGAGTTTTTTTGCTTCAAAAGCCGCTACTAAATTAGGAAGAAAGATAACTATTTTGATCGCGTCAATTTTTTTCATTGTTGGAGCGGTATTGAGTGCTGTCGCGGAGAACAAGTTGATGCTTATTTTTGGTAGAATTTTGTTTGGTGTTGGTGTTGGATTCGGAAACGAGACTGTTCCGTTGTTTTTAACTGAAGTTGCACCAATCCAACACAGAGGAGCTGTGAATATCATGTTTCAATTATTTGTGACAATAGGAATATTCATAGCAAATCTTGTTAACTATGGAACTTCAATGATACATCCAAATGGTTGGAGAATGTCACTTGGATTTGCAGCTATTCCCGCGGTGATTCTGTTTATTGGTAGTTTTGTGATCACTGACACCCCTACGAGTCTAGTTGAGCGTGGTAATGAGGAACAAGGGAAGTCCACGCTCATGAAGATTAGGGGTGTCAGTGATGTTGAGGCTGAGTATAAAGAAATCGTGGCAGCGTGTGAACAAGCCAAGCAAGTTAAGCTGATCCACAAGAGAGAAAAGAGAAGAAAAAAGATTCTTTTGCTGCAGTCTTTTATTTCGACCAGCAACCTTCAGATCGTGTTTTCCGATTAACTAACTGTTGGATCGGGTTGAAATTTGTACTGAGTGTTCCTGACATCTTGGTGGTTGATTTGAACGGTGATGATCGGATTCGGAAGTCAGAAAGATCCTATTTTAGGTCCCGAAAGCAGCTGGGTTTGGGTGGTGTTTCTTTCTATTTATCTTTTGTTGGTGTAGCTATTGTTTGTTCTCTTTTGGCACTTGTTATGTAGCCATTAGAAGAATAATTATAACTCTCTTATTGTTATAGTGAAGCAATTCGGATCTTGTCGATCCCGTGGTGGTTACCTTCGTTTTGAAGGATTTTTCCACGTTAAACTTGGTGTTCTTTATTTTAGATTTTCGTTTTCATCTTTTCGTCACAACAAGTGGTATCAAAGCTAGATTCAATGATGGAGTCATGTTCAGTGGTTTGATAATCGATGATTGAACCAGGTTAGAAAGATGGGTGTTCATCTTGGCGGGCGTAGTTCTAGCCGCAACCGTTTTGACAGTAATGAAGATTTTTGTTGGAGAAATTGTTTCAGAGAAGTTCTCTGTATTGATACATAGATTTGATGGAGGAGATTATGGAGAGGAGAAACAAGCTGTTGAAGATTATGTGAAGATGGTGATCAAATTTATTTTGTCAGAAATTCAAGCCAAGGGGGAGATTTGTTGGGTTTTATTTGCCTTGAATTTCTTACCATAAATATGTTTTCCTTTTAGGAAAAGGTTTTGGATTGGCTAATCCTTTTCTTGTAGGAAAAGGTTTAGGACTCTATAAATAGAGGCTTGTTCCTTTTAACTTAACCGGCATTCACAATGTAGTCTTAAGGACTTTGAGAGTTTTGGTTAGGGGGAGAATTTGTGGGTCACAAGCTTGATACGTTATCACTTGTGTGGACCTCCCATGTATTTCGAGTGAATTAGTTGAGGTTATTTCTCTCTATATTTTGTACTCTCATGTTTATATAGTGGATTGCTCATCTCATTTGTGGACGTAGGTCGATTGACCGAACCACGTTAAATCTTTGTGTCTTTGTATATTTCTCGTTTGTCTTCTTACTCATGGTCTTTCGAGGTTTGCTTTGCTAGCTTCCGCGTTACACCTGCCCATTTTGGCCCTAACAGAAACAAGGACAACTGGTTTTGCATTCGCGGTCAGCACAAACATGCTCTTCACTTCTATCATTGCACAACTTTTCTTGACTATGCTTTGCACTATGAAAGCCTACATTTTCTTCTTTTTTTCCGGATGGATCGTTGTCATGGGATTATTCGTCTTCTTCTTCTTACCTGAAACGAAGGGAGTTCCGATTGATTCCATGGTCGAAAGAGTGTGGATGCAACACCCTATTTGGAAGAGACTATTCTAAAATGTATTATGTTTTTATGTAGTTTTTTGTGATCAACATTTAGCTTTTTGTTTGTAGGTTCAGTTTTTATCATATGGATTAGAATATCAGTTTTTTTTTTTGTCATCAAAAGTAGTCTGTAGTTTCTTATTTGTTGGTATGTAGCTACATTTTTGTTTTCTATTTGCTTCATTAATGTTCACACAAATTAGAAATTTATAAACTGATCATCTCTTGCTTTTATGTTGAAACATTAAGAAGATCCACAATCAGATATTTCATCCTATGAGATGCAAGTATGAAGATTAAAAAAAAATGGAACTTATACTATAAAATCAAGATGAATTAAACTTGTCCAATTTATTTGCTTTCGTCTTATTGTCAATCACTCGAATAATTGTTGTTAGAGAAAAAAGTGAGAACTCGTGTCCGAAGTCATAAAAGAGGAAGAAAAGGACCCGTGGGCTCAAAGACGTATTAAAAGGATACACATATCAACCAAGTCCAATATACAATATCTCGCTAGCTAATAACATGATAATAATATATAGCTAGCACACATAACGATATTTCCAGGTGGAACGTTTTCATTAAGTAGCGTACTATAGAGAGCTCGAATAGAGCGTTTTCATTGATTGATATATTTTTCTAATCTATAAATTGTAATATTATTCACTCGTAAAATATTAATTTTTGGCAATACTAAGTAGTAAGTAATATACTTAGCTCTCAAGAACACACATATGGATTCGATTTCGGAATTTGTTGCACGAAGTTAGCTTCGTTGAGTTAAAATCAAGCATTATTATGTCATTAATTTATATTTTTATATTTTCATTTTCAATAAGCTTATTTAACTATATATAATATATACTATTTGCTTAACAATAAGCTAATAAGTTAAATCGATCCACATATCTTTTACTTGATCTTAAAAAAATAATAGTTCCCACCAATTGCTTGCCTTATTCAGATGGTACACCACCTTCTCTGACGGGCCTACAAACCATCTCCGCCCGCTCGATCGCTGGAGATTCCAAAATCCAAAAGAATTTCGCAATCTAGATAAGAGACACGTGTTCTATTTAATTTTTAAAGGTTAAGATTATATTACATAACAAATATTATAACCATAATTAAGTCAAATTTTGAGAAATTACTCTCCAAATTTGGTAAGAACAAAATATTCCCCACAAAAATTTGATATACATTAATTTCATCTTATATTGAGACCAAATTAAATACTCCTAACACATTTATTAAATGCATAGGCGAAGTTAAATGTGACGTTTATGTATTATGCTAGTTTGAAATGTAACACATTTATTAAATGCATATGTGAAGTTAAATGACACGTTTATGTACCATGTTAGCTTGAAATGAAATAAATCTCTAAACATTTATTAAATGCATATGTGAAGTTAAATGACACGTTTATGTATTGTGCTAGTTTGAAATGAAATAAATCTCGATTTGATAATTTGATTTGATTTTTTAATTTTCCATCCGGTGTTCTTTACTCACATTGGAGCCCGACTAAATTTGGATTCGCGCCAGGAAATTCTTTTTTTATTTCCCACCCAGTGTTTGGTAGTCCCACATTGGAGCCGTGGAGTCCTTTTTTCCCCCGAGACCTCTTGGTCAAGGATAACAGCGTACTTACCATTCCACAATCCTTGTTGGTGATAATTTGATTTTCGATGATTTATACACTCCCCAATTTTGGGTTGATCCGAATGCATGACCCGATTTGAAATGTGACCCATCACTTTCGCCCCGAATCCGACGAACATTCCTCGCTCGCCCTTTCATACTTTTCCGATTCAGAAGACTTTTCCTCTTACTTTTGCCGCTCTCAAGCTTTTACATTACAAACCGAACGCCACCGGAAAATCCTCTGTAAGTCGTCGAGAAATAGAGAGGATTTAGTAGAGATATAGGAAAATCATCGATCAAATGGCTCGCCAAGCGACCAAACTGATCGCAAATCTGTCAACAAAGCTGAGTTCTAGCAATCCAACACTCGCTACTCAGAACAGGTTGTTTGGATCGGCACCGCCTCCGCCGGCTGTGTTCGTTGATAAGAACACACGTGTCATCTGTCAAGGCATTACGGGGAAGAACGGTACCTTCCATACTGAGCAAGCCATTGAATATGGCACTAAAATGGTAAGTAATGCTTTTTTCTGGCTAATAGATGTGGATCCAAAATTTTAGACTAGTGGATGCATAAATAAGTACAATACGTCAAAATTTAATATAATTATCATTTATAGTTTGACTGTAAGGGAAGCTTAGGTGCAATGGAAAAGTTGTCACTGTGTGATCTATATGTCATGAGTTTGAGAGGTGGAATAGCTACTAATGCTTGTGTTAGGCTAGGCTGTATTTTTTTGTTTTTGGTTGATGACAGTGGTATGCGTGCTTTGCTTCATTTATAGTTACTGCATATGTTGGCATAATAGTTGTTTTTCTCATACTCATGTCAAAAAACTTATTGTATGATGTGCACCCAACGGTATGTCATTGTGTGGTCAATCAGGTGGGTGAAAATCACGAGAAACTAGGCTTCATTTCTCGGTAGTGGTAGAAAATGCTGGTATTTTTTCCCTATATGTCTGCTTTTATAGTTATTGCATATGTTAGTATAATAGTTCTTTTGCTAATACTCATGTCAAAAGTCTTTGTATGATGTGCACCCAACGGTATGTCCTTGTGGCCAATGAGGTGGGTGAAAATCATGAGAAACTAAGCTTCAATTCCCGGTAGAGGTAGAAAATGCTGGTAATATTTTCCTATATGTCGTATCTATGTATTGGGGGAAAATATATCTGGTATGTGTCAGATAGCGATACCTGGTGGTATAGTTGATGTGGGCAAGCTAACGTACATGACACCATTACCCAAAAAGGTTCTTTTCGGATGTTTTGAACTCCTTGTGTCTTCAAGGTCTTCTCTTCATATTTTGTTTTCCGAATTTTCCTTTAAATTGTCACTGCCAGTAATGCTGCGAATTTTTTTAGAGTTTGTTGCTATTTGCAGCCATCAGATTGATTTCATTTGAACAAGTATTTGCATTCATTTCTATTGTTGTGTTCCTTCTCTATTTGTAGCCTATGTAGAAAATGCTATTTTCTGTATGATATGCTCCTATTGAAAAAAGCCTACTCTTTAATGAAACTGATTTGGAAAGTTTTGTTCTTGTTTTCATTATGGATTTGCTCTTTTTTTTCTTTTGGCATAATGATAGGCATCTGAAAAGAGATAATTTCTGTTTCTCATTTTGACTTTCATTTGGTTAAATAGGTTGGTGGAGTGACACCCAAGAAGGGTGGAACAGAACACTTGGGTCTTCCTGTCTTCAACACTGTTGCAGAGGCAAAAGCAGAGACGAAAGCTAATGCTTCGGTGATCTATGTACCTCCTCCTTTTGCTGCAGCTGCTATTATGGAGGGGTTGGAGGCTGAATTGGACTTAATTGTTTGCATCACAGAGGGAATTCCTCAGCATGATATGGTAAGATACAAATCCCTTCGATTGGAATTTTCTCGTTTCCCCCTCATTATAGGTTAGAGAATTGTACACAGCTTCTTAAATTTCGTGCCCAAACAAACTAAGACACGAAAATGAAATAGAAGGAGTAGTATATATCTTTAAATATAGAAGTTCAAAACAGTTGTTGAAACATTTTGATTAGAAATAGCTGAAGGAATCTTCTCACTTTTGATCCTTCTCCCTTTAGGAAGAGGGATTTCTTAGTGAATTATATTTTTTCACTGAGTTTTTGAGAAAGAATCTCCTGGATGAAAGTTGTTCTATTGATCTGTGAAGTAACTTTTCAATCCCTCCCCCCAAAAAAGAAAAAATACATTGGGAGAAAGATTCAAGCATGAAGTGGAAGAAAAGACTCATACATGTGTAACTGTAAGTAGTTGAGCAAAATCTTTTCTGATGACTAAATGCGTCAATGACCAGCGCAGAAGTGTTCATCTATTAAATGTGGGAAGGGGTGAATGAATTAGAAACTTGACAACTGCAGCAACTTTAAGGATCGACAATAAAGATTATTAATAAAAGCTACAAATCATTTTTTTCCGGTATGATGGATGTGTTAAAGTGAGCAAATGGGCTGAAATCTACAGTCAAAATGAAAAGAAACTTCTCATGTTAACATTTTCATTCACCTTCCTTCCATTTTATTTATTAGGCTATTAGTCAATTTGCTTGTGTATTATATATGTCAATCATTTGTGCGATTCTTGTTATTTATTTATTATAATAGTCAAGAACATTATTTTTCTTCATTGTGCAGAAAATGAAATGATGCAAGGGGTTAGAGCCCTTCAAATGTCCCTTAGAAATTCTAAAAGAACGTTTTGGCCAGATTTTTATAATATTATTTAGCCTTAGATTGCCCATTCAAGATTTAAAAAGAAATGTGTTGGCCATAAGACATTTGTAATATTTGTTTTATGCTATCTACTAAGTGTCAATTGTTGCTTTTGTTGCGTTGAATGTTTTGACAATTTGAAACAATCATCTGAGCTTTGGATGAGTAATTTGAGGAGAGAGTTATCTTATAATTGAAGTTTCAGTTATTAGATCTTCTAGAGATTCTGCTGAACCTTAGTCATGATCTGCGTTTCTTTTTTATCTTTCATAATATGCTTTTCGAAATGGATATTTCATATTATGCCTACATAGTTACATAAGTCTTTCATATTGCATAGGAGCGGGGATTTTACCTTGTGCGCACCAAAAGGGTAGCGGCTGCGGGTTTTCCCTTGTCATAAAAAAAAAAAAAAAAAAAAAAGAA